AAGAGCAAAAGGGAAGCTCATGGAGGGTGATATTATTGTAATAGGAAAACTAAGTCCAACCTTTAAAGAAGTGGTTGCATTGGAGTGTAAGAGGTATGTGATCTTTATAGGATGATATGGAGTATGAGAGTCCTCTACTAAAGAGTAGTCAATAAAATATAGGAGGTATATGACTTCTTTAGGATGATATTAAGCGTAAGAGCCTATTATAGATGAAAAATGGGTATAGATATGTTATCTAGATCTAAGCACGTTAGGCTCGTGCTAGATAGCACACTTAGCAAGGTTGGGTGTGCCACTCTTAACATCAAGGGTGTTGGGCCATTTGTCCAACACTATCTAGGCAAGGCAACCGGTAAGGCTAAGTGTCCGCCCAATAAAAGGTATGCAACCAGATGGTGGGATTAGGTTTATAGGCCCAAGCCTAGGCATATGCCCAATATGTTCTTTGGTTACTATGCTTAAGCTCATGCACGTTGGTAAAAGTTGAGCTCAGATATGGTAGCCTGAGTCTATAGGGATTATGTTTTTGGACCTTTTTAAGGTTTTTTTTCCTATTAATTTTGTGTTTATCACAAATCAAAGGAACCTTTTGTCATGACCTAAATTCCAAGTCTATGATCGGCAATGTAGGAGCGTTGTCGAAAGGACACATAACCTACGCTAAGTCTTATAATAGATATATAAAAAAACTAGTTATTAAAAATACGTACCATTTCATAATCTTTAGAAATATTATATTATTCAAAATTAATGAAACCAAATGATAGTTCAAAACTTCTCATCAGTAATTAAAACAAAAACAAAAATCAATAATACGCATACATTGTCAAAATCCAAACTTAATTAAAATAGAGTAATAGTGAAATGTATAAGACATCAAATCAAAACCAAAAGAACTCGTAAAACAACTAAGTTATATCGACCAAAATTAAAGAAGTACGAACACTCAACAAAGGTCACCTATTAACAAAAAATAAGAACTTGAAATAATATTAAGAATAAGGGGTGAGTTTAACCAACTCAGTAAGGAAATAATATTTAATATATATTTTAGATATTAATAATTTTTAAGTTAATTTATCTTGATATAAATATAACTACTAAGCATATTATTATAAAGCAGTGGAATAAATGTCAGAAATCAGATAACACTCAAAAGTGATCACTATAGGAGGATCAGTTGCCACAAGTCAATGTCTCTCTCACCTTTTAGGTATACAGAATACTATGTGCATCTAGCCTAACTACTCTCTATTAGCATAGAGTTTGTTATAACCCAATTTTGGCCCGTTGATTCTTGATTTAATTTTACAAGGGTAAAATGTAAAATTAAAAAATCAAAGATTTACTTCACTAAAGAGTGTGATTTGTCAGCTCGTGCGAATGCTAGAGACAACAATGTGCTGTTGTCATTTTATCTTTATCTTTAAGATAATGATAATTATCCAATTTTGAATATGATTCTTAATCAAATTCAAATTTAAAAAAAAAAAAGAATGAGTTTGATTAAAACTTTATTTCTTACACATGGTGGACTCTTTCATTATAAAATATAAATATAAATCTCAATGTATGCATAAAGGAGGGGACAATTATAGGAAACTTAAATGGAGGCCATTATTAGAAACCTAAAAGAGAGAAACATGAAAAAAAAGAGGGGGTCGTAAACACTATACTCGTCGTTGCCCCAGTCCCTAACCCTTTCCTTTTCTTTTTCCCTGGCCTTTAGAAATGGCTCTCAACTCATCCATTTTCCTCCTCAACTCATCCCTGTAACCTAAACGGAGCAAAACACAAAAGGAAAAAACCACCTTTCATCTCTCCATCTCACAGACCCAGCAAAAAAAGACCCCTTTCAACTCTAAAAGCTACCATATAAGCTTTCGTTTGATGTTACAGAAGAGGCTTTCATCTCCTTTTCCTCCTAGTCTAGAAGGAACTTCATATTTGCGCCACAGCAATAACATCATCCCTGTCCCTCACAACTGGCTCCCTTTTAGGAGAAATACAACAGTAAAGCTAATTCATGTTAACAATAACAGGACTCCATCCTTAGCCATCAGTAGTATTTCCTCTAATGGTAAGCTTTATCCCCAGTGTTGGTTGCAGTCATGATTAACAACAACGTCATCAACAACTCTCACAACCTGGAGAAAATACAAGCCAACAACAACAATAAAAAGGACTCTTCTTTTCTTTTCTCTTTGCCTAAAATAACAGCCACCAAAATTAGCTACACCTTCACATTTCCAACAGCAGCCTTCTCTTCTTAGTAGTGGCAGCATGAATTTTAGTAACCTGAGCAGTAGCCACCGTGAGCAACAATATTTGTTTCTCTTCAGCCATGGTTGTAGACATTCATCCTCAGTACTAGTATAAAAAGAACCAGTACAGAGAGAGATAAGGAAAATGGAGGAGCATAGTACAAACAAGAAGAGCACAAAAAGAAGACCAGGGGAAAAACAAAAGTAAAATATAAGAGAAGAAAACAGTTTCAGTAGGCCAGCCTTCCATCACTACCATCTTTATCTTCAAGTGCAGCAATGTCTGGAAGCCCTCTTTCATGCCACTAACTTTGTCTCCACAAGCTGGATCATTAACCATGAGCAGTGCCCAACTGTCTCCCTCAACCTTTATTTCAACAGTAGTCGTGCCAATGTAAGTTTTTTTTCCCCTATCTTGATAATTTAATTACATTATTATAGTTGCATGCGTGCGTGAATTATTTATGCATGGATGCAATAATGGCAAAACCGGTTGCTGGTTTGGGCCTGGTTGGATCCAGTCCAGCCTGTACAGCTAGGCTAGATCCAGTCCAAAAAAAGATTAAAAAAGAGATTTAATGTTTCATTTAATACAGAATTTTATAGATTTATTCATTAGTGTTAAACTTAGAAATAATGCACTTTCTGAGTTATGCAATATTTACTAATGCCAGAGTTAGAAATATTTACTAATGCTAGAGTTAGAAATATTTATATTGATTTTTCATTAATACTAAAGTTAGGAACATTATAAGCAGATCATGAAAAGTGTAATACAACAAACTCTTAATAATTTTAGACAAAACCAGCAATGCAGTCTACTTTAAATAAGACATTTGAGGGGTGATAACATATTTTATTTCGCGTAACCAGTCTTGTATCATTAGAATCCCTATTGATTAGTTAGAGTTTCTAATGATCATAATATTAGGTGATGACTCCTTGAACTAGACATTCCTCTTCAAAGAAAAAAATGCCATATATTTGTTCCTTTTTCATCGAGATTATTTTTTTAATCGGTTGTCATGATGTCTGGGTGTGACAAAGTTACTAATAAGTCATATATCAAAATATAATAGATATTTACAGAATCATCAAATAAATATATATCATATCAAATATAATTTAGTTCGACAGAATAGAAGTGAAAATTTAAGAATAAATAAGTACTTAAAAAATAAAGCAACATATATAAATATTTAAGAGATTAACTAGTTGTACTTATCATATAATCAACATATATATTTATTTATATTAAATGCATATTAAAGGTTATACCACTTACCTATTAAGGATTGTTAAGATAATCTACAACAAATATAAAAAATATATTCAAAACAATACAAATAAAAGATTTCAATGCATAAAAGAAAACTAGGTTTAGTCTCCTAGGTTTAGGGACTAAAATGATAATTTTCTAAAAACAGGGACCAAAACATAATTTTACCAAAACTGGACCCAATTATAAATACATAACCATACTAAAATTTCACCCATAAACCATCCTCAATTCTTTCCAGAACAAAATAGGGATGAAAGCATAATTTTTTTAAAGTTTTGGGACTAAAATATAAATCCCTAAAATTGAGGGACCAAACTAAAAATATTTCATATCAATTATCAATATGATATTCATTATCCTTTACCTCACAATAACACTTCTCAATATTCCAAAAGACATGTCAAGGGTGAAATTATAATTTTTAAAAGTTTAGGGACTAAATTATAATTTTTATAAATCAAGGACCAAAATAAAATTTTGTCATCTTCAACCTTAAGACTATTCCGTCCATATTTTCTAATAAGGTTGAAATGAATTTCTTAACCTATAAAAATTAATTTAAATAAATTAACTCATAAATTCTTATTTCTAACAATATACTTAAAATCAATCTCTTAACATTAATTTCTAATAATCATGAATCAATCTTGACAATATAAACTTTAAATTTTTATAAACTCTAATATCATTTTTAATCCTTTAATAAACAAACCACAATTGAAAATAATCTAAGAAAAAATCATTTATTTGTTACTTTCACATTTCTTGAATCTAAAACTTATGATCAAAAACTGAAATTTTTGTTTTGAAGATAGATTAATCTAAGAAAAAATTATTTATTTGTTACTTTTACATTTCTTGAATCTAAAACTTATGATTAAAAACTGAAATTTTTGTTTTGAAGATAGGAGGGTCACGTTGGCCATAAGAATTAGAAGACAGAAAAATAATTGTCTTGTAACTTTTCTTTATATATCTAGACTGGGTTTGAACTAAATTTGAGTTTAAATTTGAACCAAAAATTTAATTCATACGCTTTTGAATTGCATTGCATTGCAATGATGTTCGAAGAAAATTCAAATAAAATATATGTTCGATTTTGTAGAAGTCTTTCCTGGTAAATGTATGAGCAAGATATAAAATTTTGTACCAGCTTGATTTTGTAGGAACTTCTCGATTGCATTGCACTGAAGTTTTCAAATTTATATCTTGTCAATGGATCGAGCTCTGAATCTTGAGTTTTTTTATCAACTCATTACTTGTGTTTGAGTTTAATGAAAGAAATCTGTATATTGTGAAGTTTTCAAGTCTTGTTCTTTCTTCCGAAAATAAGGCAAGCATCTTGCAAAATAGAAAATTATCATTGATCGATCATTTCTTAATCGGTTGATGTTTCAAGTAGTTTTCACACACTTACATGAAAGCCAGAAAAATTACGAAAACAAACCATTAAACACAGTCTACACCAAATAACAACATTTATTTTTTAAATTGACAATTGAAGAGAATTAGCCAAAGCCTTACTAATGGCTAACATTACTTAATTAACTGTGAGGTTCAGTTTACTTTGGCGCAGTTGGTACGAATCTGTCCATCGCTTCCTGTTAGGGGGCTAATGCTACCCATCTTTACCATGGCACTAGCAAAATCAGCATAGAATGTAGCATAATTGATGCTGTATGTCTTGACCTGCGAGTCCGTAGTGCCTCCACTGAAAAGCTGTTGATCAGAGTGCAAAAGTCCCTTGTTGTTTACCAGGTTCTTGAAATAAGAGTTATCAAATGTGACAGGAGTAGTAGCATCCAGTGAAGAAAGGCTGTCATCACTGCCTGTGTCTGGACAATTTGATTTTAATGATGTTGCCAAGGTTGAATCTAGGCTGGTCTCATTGTAGACACGGTTTCGAAACATCAGGCACCTGGCTTGCCCTATTGTGTGAGATCCTACAAGATTATAGAAAATTTCAAAACCGAAGTCAATTGGTACAAGATCCTTATTTAATTGTGGCAATGATTTCCCTTAATTTTATTTTACCTGAGAGAGCAACCATTTCTTTGGCAGTGAACCCTTTATTTGAGAAGGAAGTAATAAGGTCACTCAGATCCATGAGTGGAGATGGAAGATCGGAATTAGCAGCACTCAAACTTGCTGTGGTCGAATCTCTTCTCCCCAATTGAACTGTCCATGATGGTCCACTCAACTGGAGAAGAAATATAAAAGAAATCAAAATGAGCACAAGTTTATGTGAAATGTATGAATTGAGTCGTTTCCACGGTGCCTTCTTCACGGCCTTAAAAGGCATGCATCGGCATTCAAACATCAGGGTTCAAAAGGATTTCAATGCCTTTGAAGGCACCTGTTGAAGAAGGCACCTTGTCTTCTATATATGCTCTAGGTTACTTACTGCAACAACTGAATCTCGAGCAGCAACAGCCAGAATATCAGCACAAGAAACAACTCCAGGGCAAATTGACTCCAATTGAGACTTTATGGTATCAATCACATCATAACCTCTCAAAGAATTTGCATTTGGGCCTGCAGTCTTTTCTCCAGTAAAACTTGAAGTGTCATCTAATAGGACTGATGCGTCACATCCCTGCTTGAATCAATAATAAAGATCCTCGTCAAATTACAATGTTTAAAATAACGATAACATTTCTTAATGAAAATATTGTATATAATCCTGCCATAAGGGATAACCATAGTAATTAAACACACAGTAAACTATCATCCTTGTGCATGCATGCAGGGTTTTACGTGCAAGTTGGTAAACTAAAAAACCTAAACATGGAGAGATTATCCTCCCCAAGGCACAATCTTAATTAATACCCCCCCCCTTGTGTGCATGTATATCTGTATGTGAAAGAAAGGGAGAGGGATAAGAGAAACATGCATTAACGAAGCAGTCATGGAAATGGAGACGGAGCAAGGAGGCTCCCATGCGATGCTCCTTGACAACTGCTTTTAGTACAGCAGTTCTGATGGTAGAGAGGGCTTTAGGGCATGTTGTTGCATAGAAATTGGTTGATAACTGTGCACGGACTAATCCAAGCAATAGCATAGAGAAACATAACCCGAAGAAAATTTTTGAGTGAGCCATATAATCCAAACTGTAAAGACACAGAGGGATATAGCTGAACTTGTGATATATCTCTTGTGTTTGATGGCATGTAAGTGCTGTAGAGGAGGCCTATTTATAGGAAGCATTTGGTTTGGACAGTCTACCATTTAATTTATAACTTAATTAGGGTTTACGGTCAAAGATTATGTGCAAAATATTGAGTATAGTAAAAGCAAAGAAACCTAATGTACGCGCGCATTCATGTTGGTGGTGAACCCACTTAATATTTTCTCTTAATTTT